GGTTTCGGGTTTCGGGTTTCGGGTTTCGATCGGTCCTGGGGAAGGTAAGTCTTCAGAGTCGGTTTCGGGTTTCGGGTTTCGGGTTTCGATCGGTCCTGGGGAAGTTAAGTCTTCAGAGTCGGTTTCGGGTTTCGGGTTTCGGGTTTCGGGTTTCGATCGGTCCTGGGGAAGGAAAGTCTTCAGAGTCGGTTTCGGGTTTCGGGTTTCGGGTTTCGGGTTTCGCTGGTCGAAACCAACTCTGCAGACCTCTCTCCGGATCACGTCTCATACATACATACATACATACATACATACATACATACATACATACATACATACATACATACATACATACACATAAACGAAACCATTCCCATTATATAACCATGCAGTTATATAAGAATTTTTGCTGCACCCCAATCTCTCACTTTCACCAAGCCTTAAAATAGCAGAGAAGCAATCCCCAATCTTGGGAGCTATTGGATTTCGAACATCCTAATTTTTATGAATTCACTGAATGGCTTGATTTAAGGGACCATTGGTGCTCGTACGGTTAAAACACGTTAAAACCATGATTTTCCCCACCCTCCCCGCCACTTGGATCCACCTCTGGTGCCTCCAGCTGAATGCAGCGAAAACTGAACTTAGCTAGTGAAAATTGCATCAAACTATCATAAATCCATGATACATCCCATTTTTGCTGGTTGAATTCCCATGTTTAGATTATGTTTAGGCATAAAAGGCGCGCCTTTTCCATGTTGGAAACTGCCCGGCCCCAGCCTTGCTTCCCCTCCAGCAAGGCGAAGAGCTGTCGTCGCCCAATTGTCATCGTGAAAAGTGGCTCTTCTTCATGCCGATGAGTGCTGGAATTCTGGCCTCTTTCGGTGCCACCAACATCCTCTTCACCGCAGGGTGGATCGGATTGTGCTGATCAAAACCAGTAAAAGCATCAAAACTGATGCAAACAATTAGCAACGCCCTGGTTTGTTGGTCGAAAATACTTACGATTTAAACATCATTCATAGGGGTCTCAACCATCAAACGGATGGTTATAAAGCTGATAAATGATGATTCTCGGATTGGTTGACGATAAGGTCCGGGATTATACTATCCTTTATATCCATATTGGGGATGATTCACATTCCATGAAGTGGGAATCCCGTTCTTAGCTGACACTACTCATGTTGGATGGGAGAAAATATGTGCCATGGTCAAGCTAGTGGGATTGGTTATACCACCAATAGCCGATTTCACAGGATTCCTGACAACGGTTGGATGACCAGCAGCCACAAAAACATATGGTTTGATCATGGCACATATGGGAAGAGATCGGATTTTTTCAGGGATATTCCTGTTGGGCAATTTATGTCTTGTGTGAAAATTCAAGAGAAAGAACCACCTTTTCATGGGACACTTGCAGAAGGGGAACCATTCCTCCAAGCACGGCAGATTTGGTGATGCACATAGCATCATCACTCAACTGTTGAGTTGGTGTTCTCTTTTTTCCGGGGTTGGCCCTGTGCTCAAACATGTCCAATGATGGGTTTTGGCTGTGTCACTCAATGCAGTACGGATTTGTTGACATTCCAGAGTTATTGGTGATGCTTAGACTACTGGTCGCACTACGTCACCATTTTTGTTTGTTGTTTGCAAAAGAGGGTCTGGCACAACACAGCAGTTGGGGTAGATGATGTTTTTGAATTGATATTTGTTCGCCCAGTGATAATTCACAATCCCATAGATCAACCATTGATAATAGATGGAATTTTCAACTTACAGATTAGCATCTAAACGCATGTCCCAGGTTCAAAACAGATTACAGTAAATAAACAATCATTATCAGCATTAGTGACAAACAAGGTGGGCCAGAGAATCCAAAAGCAAGACGGCACACAGCACGCCTTTTTTTAAAAATCTTGTGGTGTGGGCAGCTGTGCTCTGTACGAAATCGACGTAAGATCTTTACTGAAACATCGTGCGCACTGATGGTATCAGGGGCCACAATTCACCACAGCATGCTGTGTGAGCTACGTCTACATTCTTCTAGTCGCTATTTCTGCTAATGTAATTAACCCTATCCCATCTGTCTAGTCGCTAACTATTCCTGGGTTCTCGTTTGGTTTGCTTCGCCGCAGAGGGAGCCAGGACGAAGCGTGGACGGACAGAACACCGTGCGAAATGAAAACTAAACGACAGAGGGAGTTGACCAAAAGAGCATGAAAACGAAGATATGAAGATGACAGATGGTGAATGATCATGAAAAATGAGACATGATGAAAGATGGGTAAAGACTTCTCTGTACAAAAGCTTCTATGCGTAAAAACTACTGTGTGTAAACGCGTCTGTGCGTACAAGTTTCTTTGTGTAAAAGTTCCTCTGTGTAAAGTTTTTTTTTTGTAAAAAAACTTCTGTCTGTAAAAGCTTCTGCGTGTAAAAGATTCTGTGTGTAAAAGTTTCTTTGCTTAAAAGCTTCTGTATATTTAAAAGCTTCTGTGGGTAAAAACTTCTCTGTGTAAAGGTTTTTGGTGTAAAAGCTTCTTTGCGTAAAAGCTTCTGTGTAAAGTGTCCTCTGTGTGTAAAAGTTTCTGTTTGTGAAAGTTTCTTTGCGTACCAGCTTGTGTGTGTAAAAGCTCCTCTGTGTTAAGTTTTTTTTTGTGTAAAAGCTTCTGTGTGTAAAAGACTTCTCTGTGTCAAAGCCTCTGAGTGTACAAGCTTCTCTGTGTAAAAGTTCCTCTGTGTAAAAGCTCCTCTGTGAAAAAGCTCCTCTGTGTAAAGGGCTTCTCTGCGTAAAAGACTGCGTGTGCAAGCTTCTCTGTGTCAAGACTTCTTTGTGTAAAGACTTCTCTGTGTAAAGTGTAAAGACTTCTCTGTGTAAAAGCTACTCTGCGTAAAGGCTTCTATGGGTGGAGGCTTCTGTGTGTAAACGCATCCGTGTGTAAACACTCCTGTGTAAAGCGTCTGTGTGTAAAAGCTTCTGTGCGCAAAAGTTTCTCTGTAAACACTTTTTTGTGTAAAAACTTCCGTGTGCAAGAGCTTCTCTGTGTAAAGGCTTTCCGGTGTAAAAGCTTCTGTGTGTAAAGCTCCTCTGCGTGTAAACGTTTCTGTGTGTAAAAGCTGCTCTGTGTAAACGTTTCTTTGTGTAAAAGCGTCTGTGTGTAAAAACTCCTCTGTGTGTACAAGCTTCTCTGTAAAGACTTCTCTGTGTCAAAGCCTCTGCGTGTACAAGCTTTTCCATGTAAAAACTACTCTGTGTAAAGACTTCTCAGTGTAAAAGCCTCTGTGTGTGCCAACTTCTCTGTGCCAAGACTACTCTGTATAAAGACTTCTCTGTGTAAAAGCTTCTGTGTGTAAAACCTTTCCTGTGTAAAAACTCTGTGTGTACAGTCGTCCCTGTGTACAAGCTGGTGTAAAAAGATCCTCCTCCGTGTAAAGCTCCTCTGTGTAAAGTTCCTCTGTGTAAAAGCTGCTTTGTGTAAACCCCGTGCCAACAGCTCCGCATTTTCAGTGCCACTCCCCTCCCAGCAGAGCTCTTCCCAAGCTATTTCCCCACCTGTCCGTTCACGCTGATGCATATCCTATGCTTGGGTTCTCGTTTAGTTTGCTTCGCTGCAAAGGGAGCGAAAACCAAGCATCCAGCAAAGAACTTTTTCCAATGCATGTCCGGCATGTCCTTTTGCCCAGCGTTTTCACACGGTTTGAGAAGTCTTTGGCACCTGTTTTTTGGGACAATCGCGTTGATGGAATTTGTCCTGAAAAATCCGTGCCAACAGCTCTGCTCTTTTAGTCACGCTCCCTGCCAACAAAGCTATGCATGTCCCATGGCCCGGGGTTTGGAAACTTTGGTAGGTCTTGGGCGCGCAGTTTTTCGGAACAATCGTATTGATCTGAAATTTGCCCAGAAAAACTCGTGCCAACAGCTGTGCATTTTTAGTGTTGCTCCCTGCCAACGAAGCTATGCATGTCCCATCGCCCAACGTTTGCAAAGCACTTGAAGAGTCTTGAGCCCAAAAGCGTCGTGTGCATCAGGAAACGTTCCACATTTTTTCATGCCAAAACGAAGCATGGAGGCAACTAATTACTAATGCTGCTCCATGCTTCGCGCCAACCCTGGCCACGCCCCCGTCCACCTCCTCGCGCAGAGAAAAAAATCTCCAGCCACGAACTTTTTCCCATGCATGTCCCATTGCCCAGGGTTTGGCATCAATTTCACAAATCTTAGGCGAACACTTGTGCGGGACAATCGCATTGATGGAATTTGTCCTGAAAACCCGGTGCCACAAACTCTCAATTTTAGTGAATTTAGTGTCCCTCCCTCCCTACCCAGTTCTCCTGAAGCTATTTCCAAGTCTTGGACCCGCAATTTTTTAGGACAATCGCATTGATGGAAATTGTCCCGAAAAACCCGTGCCACCACGCTCGTCCGGCGCTCCCGTCTCGCTCCCTCCAGCAGCTCCCCCCAGGCCCAAGCTATTTCCACGCTTCACAGCGCTCGTCCGGCACTCGTCCGGCTCTTCTGTCTCGCTCCCCTCGCGGCAAAGTAACCTAAACGAGAACGCGAGCATCGGAGATGCTTTTGGGAAAAACAATCCTATAATATAGTTCCCTTAAATGATAGATGCTAATAAATCCAACTCACTCCCCATGAAATCACCCAATCCCACGTATTTAAATGGTGTCTAAATCTTAGATATTCCTTAAAATCACATTAAACTCCCATCAAACTTCCATAAAACTCCGATTCAATTTTTCAATTACATCCCATTCGAATCCCATTAACATCACATGAAAATCTCATGAACATCCCAAGTTGCGGAGGTCATGGCACTTTTGGATCGCTGGGATCTATCTACACTTCTCCTGTCGCCCTGATGAACAACGATGAACTGGGCTGATTAACTTCTACCTTCGGATCATTTCACGGCAAAAAGTGCACCATTTTTGAAGAGTTCATTTTTTTCAATGTGCCATTTTCTGTTGTGGTAAATTACAGGTACCAGAGGGGAACATGAGAAAAGAACAGCATGGTGACAAACACTACATTTCGGATTTTGAGAAATTGATGTGGTGACAATTTAGCAACGAGTACGCGTAACCAACAAGTGGGATTTTACCAGAGGCAAATTCCCGGATTTTAACCAACCCAAAGGTTACTTTTCTTGGGCCTTGAATCTCATTGCCTTGTGAAGTCCTCAGCTGGAATTTAAAGTCACCAGTTCGCAGTGGACAATCATCAATTTGTGAAAAATGGCGAACTCCATTTTGTTTCATCGAACGCTATCCCAATTATTCATGGAACATTCAAAAAATGTACAAGATAAATAACAAAAGATGAAACAAGACATCACATTCTTGCACCAAAGATCCCAATTTAAGTGGTCCATGTAACCACTGATTGGCGGAAGTTCTAGCCACCTTTGGGATGATATTTTTCCATGGTTTGGGTGAAGAATTGGTATAATCCCATAGCCCTACTATCAAACAGCATCGTTGATTGATGTAGCGATATATGTATATATACACACACATAGGTACACGCACACGCATATATATATATAATAATAATAATAACACTAATAATAATAATAACAAAATATATACATGTATTGATATGAATATATGATAATATATGTAGTGTTGGCATGAATAATCTTGGATAGATAGTCTAGTCATTGAATCCAATGGATTTCAACAGAGGCGTCTACGGCTGGGCCACTGCCCTAGATGACTGCATTCTGGCGTTGCGCCAGGGCTTCGATGCTTGTTTTGGATAAGTCATGGGGACTTCATGGGATTTCCATGGGACTTTTCATGGGATTTGATGGGATTTTCCATGGCGAATCTTACCCTCTGGTATTCAAACATGGTAATGGACACTCCACCAACGATTTGCTCAGCAGCCCGCCATGATCCGGTTATCTGGGATTCAGTTCGCAATCAGAAGTGAAGAGAATGCCCAAGTGCTGAATCATCCTCCCCATTGAAATGGCCATCTAAGGGATATACCAAATTTTCCGACCCAAATTGAACTGGTTGAGCCAATCAAATAGAGATTTGGAAGGGATTTGACGATGCAAATTGGGAGTGCCTGACCCGTCTATGCGAATTTGGGGTCCACACCAATTTTCGGGATTTTCCCATGTTATATATGTGTATGTATGTATGTAATGTAATGTAATGTAATGTAATGTATTGTATTGTATTGTATTGTATTGTATTGTATGTATGTATGTATATATATATATATTATGTATGTATATATTATATTGACAATGTGCTCCGAATAACATTAAGGGGGTTGCAAACAAGAATTTGAGATACAACCAGCAAACCAAGACTCATATCTGTGCAGTATCCCAACATGAAACGGCCTACTACCCCATGCCAGATGTTGAAGCAGGTCCTGTCAGGAGATTTTGCGATGGATGTTTCAGGATCACCAATCTGACATGAAATTTGACCAATCAAGTTGGACACATGAACCATATGGGATTGGCAAGCAGGTTGCACTTCCAAAGCAAGAGGACTAAGTTCAAGATTACCCACGATTTATAGATGATTTTCCCATTAGCATGCCTATTTATGGGGCATTTCCCATTGCCATGTTACAATGGCGCCTCCAAACAACTTCAGAAAAGTGAAATTGCTGGCCCGTCCCGCAATTGGGGACCCTTAAACTGAAAATCCTCTGACAAATTATTGCAAAACGAATATGTACTTAGTTCATACAGCTGGTCTGAAAGCTGAATTTCCCCTCCAAAATCTGTTCTGAATTCCAGCCGTTCCAATCTTTCAAGCGGATTTCCCCCCAAATGGTGTGTTCACACTGAGGGGTTCTTACGGTAAGAGTAAAAGGCCGGGGTTAGATCAGGGTACAGTACTCTCTCTGGTCCCCGGCTTTTTCATTGAACAATTCTCGCATAAAAGTTCCCTTGTGAGATGTTCATGTTTTCGACTGCGCGGGCTCGGACAAAATTTGGGTAACGGATTTCTCTCTTCCGAAGGTCTTGTTTTACCAGCGTGCCGTGCTTGTTTTTTGAGCTATGTCCATTTCGTGTGGCAGGCGTGGGGCATCCGGGACATCTTGGGGTCTAAAACGTCGCTTTGCATGACAGGTGCAGGACACCGGACACTTTTTCATTCGCGTGGCAGGCGTGGCACTGTCTTGACGTTGCTAAAACGTTGGCAAGAGTGGGCCAGAATGAGAGGTGCTTTTGGAGGTCATTTTGCATGGCAGGTGGGGTATTTGGTGAACTTGGACGACGTTTGGAAAGGGTCGAAAGTCTCGTTGTGTGAAGCTGTCGTCATTTTTGATTTTGGACATGATGATGATTCCGTGTGGCAGGTGCAGCACTTTGGATGCCTCGGGCTCATTTTTTGTGGCAGGCGCAGAACTTTGTACACCTCAACAAAAAGTGGCTGAGACCTAGCTAAAAACATCGTTTTTGATATTTTCAATGTTCCTTTTTGGTGATGCGCCCAATGTTTTGTGAAAATCTTGCATGTGCTCGCGCAACCCTCTTCTGACTTTGTGCGTGTCGGATCGCTTTCATTGTGGTGCTGATTTCAGCCGAGCTCCCGAGATTCTGGTCAAGAGATTTTACGACTTCCCTGGAAGGTCCTTCTATGACGATGCAAGAGTTTCATGGTGCAGTCTTGGAGGTCCGTGATGAAGATCTTCACCAAGGCCTTGTGGTGATCCTGAATCCTGTCAGAGGTCCTTCCATGATCTTTTAAGGTCCTTGTGAGAAGATCTTGTGCAGATCCTGGAAAGATCCTCTCTAAGAGGTCCTTGCATGAAGATCTTGCAGATGCCATGTATTAGATAGAGATGCTTCTATGAAAGCTCTTCCCGGACGCTCTTGGGAGGTTCTTGTATCAAGATCTTGTAAGATCCTCTCCGGCAGCAGCAGGTCCTTCTATGACGATCTTGTGGGTTTCTCTTTGGGGCCCTGGCATGACGATCTTGGTCAAGGTCTTTTACGATTCCTCGTGAGAAGCTCTTGTACAGATCCTGGTGAAGTCCTTTCTAAGTTCTAAGAGGTCCTTGCATGATCTCGTACAGGTCCTTGTGAGAAGATCTTGTGGGTGTCCCGTTTAAATCAATGCGGTCCTTGCAAAAAGATTTTGAAGATGCTCTGTGTTGGTGTTTGTATGAAAGTTCTTCTGCGATGTTCGCAGATCACAGGAAGTTCTTCTATGAAGATCTTGTGAGATACCCTATACAGAAGGTTGTTCTTTTGCTATCTTTTGAAATTCTCTTACATGTCCCCGTATGAGGTTCTGGTATGAAGCCCTGATGAGTCGACAGCGTTGCCTCTTGCGCCACAACAAATTCCTGTTGCTGCAGTTCCGACAATGTCTAACCTGATCTGTTACTGTTCCGTAGCTACTGGTGCTTGTATCTGGTACATTGGCTTCCTACCCCCGAAACTGTTTGGGGCCTCTTTCCGGTGTAATTTGTTCTTGCCGCGGAGATCCCACAAACTTTCCCGCATCGAACTCGAATTTGACACGTTGAAAACCAGAGGCCTTGGTGGATGGCAGGGTCTACCTCGTCTGTCCCCTGGGATATGTAGAGGTGCCGATGGAAAATGGTGAATGGGGAGACCCACCATGTCAATTTCAGTGTTTTTTCTCACAAATCCCATGCTTTACCCGACATGGTGTCATCAAACATGGTGTGCTGAAAAAAGTCATCATTTAGTGTTCGATGACTTTCCCAACATAAAAAACATCCATGTGTAGATGGGGGATTTTCCAGCTTGCCATGTTTGACTACCGGAGGGTACTACAAGAAATGACCGTTTTTGAGGTGGCATGAAATTCGGATCCACACCTAACTGCCCAACTAACTGCCCGGTCACCTATATATTTTGTGATAGAAAGTGACCAACTAAGAGAGGGAATTTCCTGTGAAACATGGGCGAATTTCACGTGATACCGTGTTTGCTTCAAGTGTTTGGGAACTATACACGTGATTACAAGTGGGTTTGTTCGAGAATGAGGCATACTTTGAAATAACTATTGTAGGGAACCATCCCTACATGTTTGATTTTTTTGGGCGTTCCCTAAATGTTCAGACAAAACCACGTAAGACATACCTTAAGATGCAGTTCTCCAATGTTTCAACTGCCTTATACTAGAGTTGCTCCAACCCAATATAGGTAAATGATAGCTGCAAGGGGGTAAAATGATTGATTTGCATTGTGATTTTGACCAATTTGCCCAGTATTCTGGGGTGAGAGCAACCTGTATACCCTTGTGTCATGCGGATTCCAGCCATCCCCAGTCATGGTAGGTGGCATGGGGTTGAACGCTATTTCTCCAGAGGAAATCATTGAACCATCATGGCTAATGTCTAGTTGGTTGATGTGTTTATGCCATCATTATATGGGATATATATATATATGTAAAACTATATATATATATATGTAAAACTATATATATATGTAAAACTATATATATATATATACAAAACTATATATATATACATATATATTATATACATAACTATATATATATAACTATATAGTTATATAGTTATATAGTTATATGATGGCTATATCCAATTCTCTCTGGTGAAATCTCCCTATTTTTGATGGCATAAATATCATTGTTGTTCAGTCCTCATCCCATCCGCAACTGGGTTCTCCGTTCAGGAGCCGCATCTGGATCGCTGGATCTTACAGCACTACCGTTTCATCACCTCGCTCCTGGGCGATGGATCTTCAGCGCGCCGAAAAAAACCACCGATCTGAAGGGTGAAAACCAATAGAACATACCCTCTGGTAATTTAACATAGCTATTGAAAATGGCCATTTATAGTGGATTTTCCCATTGAAAATGGTGATTTTCCATAGCTATGTTAAATTACCAGAGGGTATGGTTGTCTACCAGGAAAACTGAATAGTTTGAAAGTGTATCTATATATATATATATTACTGGTTGGTGGTTTGGACCCTGAATTTTATTTTCCCCAATAGCTGGGATGATGATCCAATCTGACTAATATTTTTCAGGGGGGTTGAAACCACCAACCAGATTATATAAAATCCCAATGGTTAAGGCGAAAAAAAATAAACCCCATGAAAATGCATGTGAATCCCATGTCACTTGACCGAACATCAGCCATCATTTCCGAATATCACCAAAGAATCGTTGATGGTAAAACCCCATAAACCTCAGTGGTTAAGACGGTATTCAACCCCATGAAACCCAAGTGAACCATGGCACATTCTGCATCACATCCCAGAAACAAATATGGAGGTTTCCTAAAATGATCCAAAATTGGGATACTGGGATACCCCCAAATCATCCATTTGATTTTCGGATTTTCCATGAAATAAACCATCCATAAATTTTGGGTGGTTTCTCATGGTACCTCCACTTTAGGAACCCCCCATATCCCTGTCATCCCAGGAAAATCACTTCTTTGGTACTCCGTGGGGCCGTGCAATTGATACTAGCCTTGTGGGTAGAGGCCACGGTGCTGTACCGCTTGAAATGTCACTGGGACCCGAGAAGGTGGAGGTGGGGCTTTTAGCCACCAGACTTAGCTGCTCCAAGAGTTTAGAAGCCATAGGTGCTGCCAAAAGATTGATTACACACATTGGGGGAGGGTCATCAATGTATATTAGTGTCAATCCATTAATAGAGATCATATAATATAATATAATATATCATATAACCTAATCTAATCTAATGTAATATAATATTATACAATAACATATAATATAATATAATATAATATAATACCGTATACCATATCATATTATATCATGTTAAATTATATCATGTTATATAATATAATATAATATAACATAATATAATACAACATGATATACTATAATATAATATAATATAATATACTCTAATATAATATAATATTATAGTATTATATACTGTATATATACATACACCCGTTGCAAGGAATCGCAATGTGGGGATGGATGACTTCAAGCATGGCACACACACATACATATATATATACATAGATATAGGACTGGGTGATTTCTTAATAAGACTGGGAAGCTTCAAATAGTACCCTTTGGCTATTTAGCATAGCGAACATGGTCCATTTCTAGAGGATAAACATGATGATTTACCCATCCAAAATGGTGATTTTGATGGTGAAACCAATCGCTTCCAGTCAGTCGGGCGAAGCCGCCCTTGGCCCTTTTCATAGGCAACATGGCAACGACACATCTTTGAGTTAGTTTCATGATTTGCCCATTAAGATTGCGATTTCTAGTAGGATTTCCCAGCTCTCCATGTGAAACAACCTGCTCGGCTATGATCATTTTCATTAAACAAATGACCGACGTCCAGTCCGAAATGTGTCAACATCAGAGTGATTTCCCAATTTGTGAGTCGGTATTCTTTAGCAACCTCCAAAGAGTTGTTGAAAAGTTGAAGACCTGGAAAAACTGGGGGAAAACATCATCTATAGCTGGTTGGTGGTTTGGAACATTTGGATTATTTTTCCCATCATATTGGGAATGTGATCATCTCAACTGACGAAGTCCATCATTTTTCAGAGGGGTAGGTATACCACCAACCAGATAGCATCCTGAAAACATCCATTTTTTTTGGGTGTTGCTACAGATACTCTGGAGATTTGCCGGGCACTGCATGTGTCACAACTGAGCGGCTCGTTTTCCGTCAGTTGCTTCAAAGAAACCATATAGAAAAGTAAAATCCAAGTAAAACGATACTAAGTCAGTTTGAAGTCTTTTTTGGGTGTTTACTTTACCCTGTAAAAGGATGGAAACAAACAATGGTTTTTCAGATTACCAAAGAAACCATCTGAAGAGCTGGATGATCATCCGACAGAGGTAACTGGTAAAGAACCCACCTCTAAATCCAATGATATTCCAATGATTCCCAGAGTTAAAAAACATCCCTTTTTCACATCCCCTTTTCGCATCATCATGGGATCTAACACGACTCATCGGGTGGGGACCCAGGTATGAAGGCCTTCAGTGGCCATGCACGCAGCCCGATGTGCATTCAACTGACCTTCCTCTGGTGGATTCAGGTTCGGAGAACTTGGACAAAGTGGAAGTTTGGGGGAAAAAATGGAGACATGGATGCGTAGGGAAAATTAGGTCTAAAGCCATCTAACATTTGGGGTACAGTACCCTATTTTGCTCGGTTAACATGGGATCTAACCAGCAAATTACAGGGAAATGAACCAACAAAAACTGGGATTTAAGTGATTTAAGTACCAAACATGGGGATGTCCTAGCATATGCATTCCAAAACGCAAGTGGTTTGGGACCTGTATATATAACCCATGAAAACGTGTATGACTGGGTGATTTCATATGGTTATTGCCAGCTTGCGATGCCTGGGATGAAAACCCGGAGTGGAGTAGGGACTTTACTATCCCAAAGTGAGGATATCACCAGCAAGAATGGAAATACAGTCAAGAAAAGGTCTGGTTACTTCTGGTTGGAGATATTTGTATTGTGCGCCCAAAATTCAAAATTCTCATTCCAGAATTGTAGTAAGATCCAAGAATTTTGTTGCTTGCAACCCTTCAATTTGCGACAGCATGCGGGATGGCCACGTATAAGTTATACACAGTCACACAATTTCATATCCCAATCCAATTGCAGATAAGCTTAGACAATATTGTGGGTTTGCTGAAGGCGATTTGTATTTTCCCAGTGTAAAATCCAGAATTTGGAGAATCTATAGAAGGTGAAGCCTGTTACATAGCTAAATTGACTTGTAACTTGCTTCACTATTTTTTTCCCGGGTGATATAACAACAATTTTCTTTAATGGGTTTATATATATATATCAATATATATATATATATATCAATATATATATATATTATATAATATATAATATATTATATTATATTATATTATATTATATTATATATATTATATTATATATATTATATATATATTATATATATATATTATATATTATGATCCAACTTACCGGGCGGCCTTCACAAATACACCTGGGCCCGGCGAGATCCTGTTGCTGCCATCGGCTTTGCTACCAAGCACTGGCTTATCTGGCCTTGTTCGCCGGATGCTCTGTAGCTTAGCTGCGGTGGTAGTGGAGGATCACCGCAAAGGGTCCTATGGTCTCGTGTTTATGGTTTGTTAGTGGTTTTTGTCGCTTCAAAACTTACTGGTGCTTAGCAGGGAATGAGGGAATGATCCATAATCACTAGTAATAATCATCCCAGCAACCCCCATTCCCATCTATTCCCTACTAAGCACCAGTAAGAAAAAGATAGAGAACAGGTTGAATTTGTCGCAATGAACTGTAGGATTTCGACATTTCCATTCTGGTGGGATAACACACACGACATGACGGAGAAATCACCAAGGTTATTTCATCAGTTACAACTCTTGACTTCCAACTAGTCAACTAGTTCCATGTTTTGGGGAGATGGATTGGCTCAAGATGAATCTATAGGAATCAGCACCCCCAAAAAGATGCCGAACTCTGTGTTTCCAGGATGGTACTTCGATGATGTTTCTGTCATATTTCCGCGGTTTCTAGCTTTTTCTATCTATTTGGGGGGTGCTATATTTGCAGAGCATCTCGGTTAACCATGGTTAAAAACGAGCCTGGTCCTTAGAGCTCTTAAACAGTTATGAACAAGTCCATCTTCGCATGGTAATCATGGTAATCTGTGGCCACATGATGTTTTTTTTAAGCATGGGCACAGATTCGAAGAGATGGATCCGGGATCTGGAAGATGCCGTTGCGTAAGAGCCGCGGCCCCTTGCTTCGAATGGAGTCCCGTCATTGGTCTGTGATGGTCTGTGGAAATTCATGGAATTTCCATGCTTTTCAAAGGGCCAGATCTCGTCCTTTCTTTGCTGCTCGAATTTCCAGGGTTAGGAGGTCCAAGTTTGAGGGTTGGATCGCGAAAGCCCAGTTGAACGGGGCAAACATCGGGCTACTCACTGAACTTAGGAGCCGAAAGTGGATAGTCACTTGTGCATAGTTGGGGATATTCCATGTACAACAGGGTGAAGAACACTCTTGTGGTATCTAGATAACAAAAAAAACAAATATACAACATGTGTGCTGGTCACAGCCAATGAGAAAAATCGCACTGAATACCCTCCGATAATCAAACATGGTAATTTAACATCCCATAATATACAGATGATTTTCCCATTAAAAACCGTCATGAAAACTTCTTGGATTTCCCAGCAGCCCGCCATGTTTGATGGCACGGAAGAACGTCCTAGCGCGGCGCAGCAAGGTATTGCCTTCCTTGTTGCGTATTTACTGGGCGCCATCCAACTTCTTCGCATGCTGCGGCTGATTCTGACGCGGCGCCTGGGAAAAAATCACTGGGGACGCGTCCCACCAAGGTGGGAATGGGAACATACTGGGATATTTCATGGTTTATATAGCCAACAATATGACATTTTGGGGTTGGTTGATCTGAACATGGGATATGGTATAAATATATGCCAGTCAGGTTTTAAACCATCAATTTTGGGGGACTCCATTCCCAAACAAATCCGTACACGTTCATTATTGCGGGTGCATTCATTAACAAGACCAGCAACTCTATGTGCATGGAACATGTTTATTTTAGTAATCCAACATGGGAATGGGATAGAATTCAAGACTCCTTTGAACTCTTTTGGACCCACAGTCCTCTTGGTGATTCGAAAGAGTGGTGACATATTCACCACCAAAAGGGGTGCAGTTCCACCAATAAGTGTGTTACCCTCTGGCAAACTAACAGTTTGCGACATTGAAAATGGCCCACTTATAGTTGATTTAGCCATTAATAGCATGGTGATTTTCTATAGCTATGTTAGTCCCCATAAAAATCATGGTGATGTTCTATAGCAAACTGTTAGTCATTACCAGAGGGTAAGTGATATAACTTATATAGCGATAGTTGTAGAGACGATCTCCCCAACTTATGGAGCTTGAACAACAATTCCCTGGGGATCGAATGATGGGATGATGCGGAGCTATCAGATGATTATCAGATGTGGATCCCAGCCAATATAATTGATATATATATATATATATCAATTATATATATATACACCCTCTGGTAAACTAACATAGCTATGGAAAATCACCATTTTTAATGGGTAAATCAACTATAAATGGCCATAAATTACCAGAGGGTATATATATATATTTATTACCATACATGTCTATTAATCAGCATTAACAACCAGTTGTGGGTAAATCATGGTAATTCACATTGGTGATATACTTACCATGATACAACATAACAACTTACCGATGTTGACTCACCCCATTACCGTATGCCGCGACACGTCGCCACAAGGCTGGGAGAGTATCGCAACGTGGCACGGGAACAAGAGGATTCGGAGGAAGCCTTGCTGGCCTTGACCAAGGGACGAGAACGGGTCCGGCGCCAGTGTTCCCTGGCATTTCTGGCCAAATGGCTTTGAGAATGGGGTATATTCATCTGGTTGGTGGTTTCAAACATGAATTTTATTTTCCATTTCATATCTGGGATCATCCTTCCCATTGGCGAAGTCCATCATTTTTCAAGATGGTGAAATTGCACCACCAACCAGTCATGTATATTCCCATATATTCCTCCAATGGCAATTGAATAGGGGACATTAGAACAAACTAATGAACCATTGGATTTGGGGATCAATTTTAAGAAACCAGATTTCAAAGCTCGGTGATTTGGATGTGGGATGAATTTCCCATGGATTTTTGCACTTTGATTCGCCCCAAACAAGCAAATATGACCCAAACAAGGCGAATCCATGGTAGATGGCCTGCGAGTACTTCATTTTGCAGACTTTGGGGTGCACTTCCGCTAAGTGGATTAGATTTCACCATCGTTCCTGAGTTTTTTCGGGGCCCCATATCCCAACTTATGGAGGTTTAAATCCCATAGTTGTACCATTAATAACCCCAAGCTCATTTGCAAGGACTTCAAGGAGCATGTAAGAGATCACCTCCATCAGAGAATCCCAGGAACTTCTTCCGGAACGCCATCCGGCCACGGAGGGGACCCTGATCCAGACCCTGGGTTTACCCGTCACGATTCGTAAGGAGACCATGGAACATTTCCATTGGAAAATCCAGTGTGATGGATCTCTTTTTGATCCCATCACCTCAATATTGACATACCCCCATGGCCACCCAAAATGAACAGATCCAATATGTTCCATCAGGGTTTCTAGAGGGTGAGATTCCAGGGGGGAAGGGACTCTAACTTTATACAACTGAAGCGCCAACTAGTAGCGTTTTTTTCACCATCCGAAACCAAAGTCCACATGCAACAGGTTGCTGGGCAAAGTTCAGGGTGTTGCGATATCTAGATAAATATTCATTATTGTTTTGTATATCTATGTATATCTAAGATATTTATTATGGATATAGAGATGATCTATCACATGTATTTAACGTCCATGCTGCATATCATTCTGCACATGTAGGTATCATATTATAGAAGATGCTGAATTTACAGGACACACACATCATGACATCTATCAATATAAATCATTCCTGTTATTGAAGTCTGTATCATTAATGATCAAAACGCGGTTTCTGAATCTCCCAGCTGCTGAGGTTTTGGCTACATGATGCATGTGATTTTTACCGTCACGGTTGGGACCGCATCTTGTCATGATCCGGTTGGGAAAGGACTTGTTTTCGGGCACCGGTTTCCATGGTTGTTTCGAGGAGTAAACCTGTTTTATCCCCGTGGTGTTGTTGTCGCACGTAATATATATATATATACACAGTATACACACAGACAGTACAGTACATTTTGATACACATATATACTTTGTACGTGTGTATACTGTGTATATGTTTAAAGAGATACATATCATGGGTGCATGTATGTGTAACATGTACATGTTATCCTCATTCTGAGGCTGAGCGTGGGGCCTCATCGGGTCCAACCAAGCCTTCATGGCTTCCAACATTCGTAGTTGGTTGGCTTGGGGGATTGCTTTAGGGCCCAATTTCATATCCAATTGGTTTCATACTTGATGGCTTATGTTGCTTGATGTTGCTTATAACTGGGATTTTTCATGCGAATTACTGAGTGGGATGAGGCACCAGCTTCCAGCTTCCAAGTCCATCCTTCGTCTCTGCTCAGCTCGTGGTGGTTTCCAACAATCGCGCCTTTGATGACAAAGACGGTTTCGTTCTCACCGGCAGCTCCGAGGATTTCTCGAAACTTGGCGGGGGGACCTCGTGGATCAATGGATGAACCGTTGGAGAAATCGTTGACCCTCTGGTAATGACTAACAGTTTGCGACATTGAAAATGGCCATAGTTAAATAGTTGATTTTCTCATGAAACATGGTGATTTCCCATCGTTTTTTGTAAACGTTTACCAGAGGGTATATTTTGCTGTGTATCACGGTGGTTTGATGCCAGGGGATTGGGAAACCAAGAGGATTGCAGAGGCAGTCGATATAAATCGAATGATTCAACCAACATGGATATGTGGTAAAACTCGAAAGCACCGTGATGTACTTTTGCATGTTTTTTTTACCACCAGTTTTTTTTGACAACTGCAAAAAACTCGAAACAGGTACTGTATATAGGTATCGTCAGGTAAAACCCGATGTAGGATGATGTAGGTCACCGAGAAAAGGATGGAGCTTGCCACATTTTTCTCGGGGCAGCACAACAAACGATGAAGCTTTCAGGTTTGCACACATGCTCTACTGTTGTTTGGACATGACATGCCTGTGCAAATGTATAACTTATAGCCACATGTATACATACATATGTAATCATATATAATCATATATATATATATGTATATATATATATCTCTACATAGACTCCACCTCTTGGGGTTCCACGTGAGTTCTCCTCTGAATCTTGATGACTCAGGACATTGCTGAAAATTTCCTTTTTTCTTCCCGCGATTCACATTTTAGCATCTTGGGCAGCTATTTTTACCGCTGGGTTCTTCGGAATTCCGGACTTCATGGGAATTCACTGGCCACTGGTTTGTCCAAAAATGTGGAATAGCAGCCACAGTGATGATTTTAATAGGGCATATCATGATCAACCATCAACTTTGTCATTTTTCCCTCAATTTTCAAGCGAAATCCATTATATCCATTGCCAGCAATCAACTTAGGGATGAGCCCTGCTGTAAATCACCAGGTTTCCATGGCTTTCCCATCTTTCTTCACACATGTTTCCACTTGGCATTCAAGGTGTCTCAGGTCTCAGGTTCCACGTCTAGCACTTAAAAAGACAACATATGGCTAGGGATCAATACATGTGAATATCATTAGGGGGATGAAGCTCCATTTATGACACAAAAATTGAGTGTGTTTTTGCCAGGCAATTTGACCCAGGGTTTTTGACCCATAGCCAAGTGTCTGTTGCTGGATGCTCGCCCGCATCCATCATTTCCAAGCTGATCTCCGGCCCTCATGATGGTTGGTTGATGGTTGATGCTACAAGCCCAGTAAGACCTTGTAAGATAGTTTGATGGTGATCAATGTACATATCAATGCTAGACGAATTTCGGTGGATTTCACCATATTTCCATATATCTATTTCCATATATTTCCATATATTTCCATATATTTCACCACATTTCCGTATATTCCCATATATTTCCATATCCAGCAGCAATAATCATTTCTTCCATTCCCAGTTGCTGATTGGTGGCCCCTACATCATGAACAGCGGCAACGCCACGATTGGACAGCAGAGCCAGTTCTGTGCCGAAGTCCGCCCGAAACGACAGAAACGACGCTCGGTTGATCAAACCCATGTCGATCCCCACGATTTTTTCATACTTTTTGGTTGATTTTTGGTTGATTTTTGGTTGATTTTTGGGGTTGGTGGTGGTTTGGGCCTCTAAAAAAGCAAAAAGATTTGGGCCTCTATAAGTTTTTCCAATATGGATGACTGGGTGGTGGTTAATCTATGGTTAATCTATGGTTAATAATGGTTAATAATTGGAATAACAATATATCTGGTGGGTGGTTTGGACCTCTAAAAATATGTTTTTTTCCCATCAGATTGGAAATGTCATCGTCCCAACTGACTTTCAATCCATCATTTTTCAGAGGGGTAGGTATACCACCAACAACCACCAACCAGATGGATATGGGAATGTTCTATCTCTGAAATGTTGCTGAAATCCGATGTTGGCACACTACGCTTCGTCGTGTTTTTCACCGCCGTGCGGTTGTGAAAGTTCTATCAGTTGATCCTGTCGCTTCGATCGCGAAAAGTGAGTTTAAGTCATGGCCAGAATTCTCTTGTTGGTTAAAAAAAGGCAATTTCTTCATGTTTAATATGTTTAATTGGCTCAATAAAATTTTCTGGATTTGATTTGCAATTGATCAAAGCATTTTGAGAATGGTTTGCTGGATTCGCCTACAGTAAACTCACGGAACATCCAACATTTCTGTAGTTTTTCAGCCACGAGGTTCCCGACAATTGGAGCCTGGGTGGTTTGAAAAAGTGGTGGAGCTAAGTGAACGTGGCATCACGGTGCAGGCGCGCATAACGTTGGAATGGGATGATTGCCATGGCTGGATGTGATGTTAACCATAATTTGTCCTCGGTTATGCATGGTTATTTATCATGTCATTCATGAGTTTAAGAATCAGCATCCATAAGTTTTGAACTATATGATTTTACTAGTTTTATAATAGTATATTGGCCAAATTGGGAGTTTCACCATAGTAAGCATAGCTAATATTGATTAAATGGTAATGGGATGGGTATTTATATTTTTGATGGGAACATATGATGGGAATGGCATATGGGTAGGGAAAGATTTTGGCTGTTCTTCCGGTGGATTTTGATGAAATTTGATGGGAATATGGTGGGAATAAGACGGGATATACCGACATACATTTAACAAGCAAACGATGGCATTTCCCATGAACACTGCACATTATCTAGAATTTAATGGGAGATTTCATGGGATATATAGCCAACACTAGGGGGTGTTTGAGAATGGGATACATATACCACAATGATATCTCCCATTTCTAGGGGAATCTAGCGAATGTCAATGTTTGGAATGTTGCCAAATGTTGCCAACGAAGCAGATGTGATTTCCAAAGTGTCGTTTTGTGGGTCACAAAGCCATGTACCTATCTGGTAATCAAATGTTGACCTATATCCTCTGGTAATCGTTTTTGTAGTAATGGGGAATCCTGGAATCCCTAAATGGAAGTTTTTTACAGGACAATCATCGAACTCAATGGTGGATGTTCCAGATTGCCACCAGTACCCAGTACTCAATGAAGGTATATCGAGCTTTTAATCGAAATGGTGGTTATGAAAAAAACCATGAAGACATTGTTCTATGTACCAACACGGGGGATGTTTGCGTGATTTAAGCAACAAAGCGGTCCGAAGATTTTACCGAAGCGGGACTCAAACACCACAATTTGGAGATTTTGTCAGAGGGAGAAGGTTTCACTTTCTAAGTATAGGATAAGTTAAACTACCAGTTTGCAATGGAACATCACTATACATGGCCATTTTCAATAGGAAACTGTTAGTCATTACCAGAGGGTAGGTGGGGAGATGAAGTTCCATCACTCCGGGATATGTCTCAGAAATACATGTCATCCCTGGATGTTTTTGGTTTGAACCCAGGATAAAAAGTCATTTTCCCCATCAAAAAGGCGAAAAGAATTGGGATCAAAATCAGTGAAATCCCAGCCTTTGCAGACATTTAGCCCAGGGTGTTTCTTGTGTGAGAAATCCATGAATTTCTTTGCAACAGCATCTCTACAGGATGGGCCCCCCCAGTTATAAGTTGGTTTATATACCATTATAACCCCCATTAACTATACTTATATCTACCATAAACTCTAGGTCCCGTAGTTTCTCAGCGGGCCCCATCGCTAGGAGTTGTTGGCCTTCTATCGACGTCTTGGCAAGGACAGAATGATGCGGCAGGGGGCCCCTGGAATGAAAACCAGGCGGACTATGGCAACAAAGGAAGATTTCAGCCAAGAATAAGATTTACCCCTCTGGCAAACTAACAGATTGCTATTGAAAATTGAACAAGGTTGGAATTCAGATTTAATAAACAAGAGTTTCGAATTTAATATGTCTTATGTGTCAACCCTGAATGGTCCATTATAGTTGATTTATCCGTTAACCATGGTGATTTTCCATAGCAAACTGTTAGTTTACCAGAGGGTAGCCAGCACAAACTGTCTGTAAACATCCTGGTGGATTGTTGCTTAGGGTGGTTATACTAGCCTTTATGTATTGGGGATGATCATATATAGTATAGTCATGTATACTCCATTGGTATTCGCATCAACCAGAAGGGGTATTGGATATTCCAATAAGTCTTAGTTCCACTGCTCAGCCGCTATGTGCCAAGCAAGGTCAAAGTTGGATCATACACTGCAATACCCACAGTGGATAGTTATTTATTATAGCCAATCTAGGTATGGATCAATACCTATTAATACCATTTTTAGTGGGATGAACATCCATAAATCCCAGCTATTTTGATGTGAACAGAAGGGGTACAAGGTTTTGACACACTGCCATTTATTATAGCCAATCTAGGTGGAATGACCACAACCCAGTAATCCCATGTAAATCTTGTACATCTGAGGATCTCTGAAGGGCCTGAAGGGCGAAGATGTGGAAATAGATCACTGAATCACAACTCAATATCCCCAGGTGCCGATTTTTCATATACCCTCTCGTAAATTAAGATAGATCTGGAAAAACCAGCATGAAAGTAGATCATACTATCAATATTCTGGATCATAATCTACTAGAGGGTATATAATGGCATATAAATTCATGATCTTAATCTACAACTGGAAAAACATCTGAAAATTATACAACAAACTTGGAGGAATTTCACCGAGATTTCATCTCATCTCTTTGGATCATCTTCCAAGGGCCGGCACGCCCATTTAAGCCTTGATTGAAACAGGACTTTTTAAGGGATCATTCATCAACATCATTTCATGGATTTCAGAGATTTCAGATGGGATTTCAGATGTTTTTCCGAAAATCCAGAAGTCGTGAATCAAATCAAAAAAACATCATTTCATGGATTTCAGATGGGAGTTTTTCGCCGAACATCCAGAACTCGTCCTGTGGATTTTCCCTGAGAAAAACGCTGGAATTACCCCATGACACTGCGACGTCGGAATGATGGGATTCAGGGCATCCTCAAATGTTTCGAAAAACCTCCATTTTCAGCTCAGTGAAGTATTCTAGTCCGGCCAGAATTAATACATATATATATATATAATAATATAATATAATATAATATAATAATATAATAATATAATATACTATACTATACTATACTATAATATAATATAATATATTATATATATGTAACTGTAAAATACCATAGCTTTCGTAGCTTTTCATCAATATTCCCATATTCGAAACCCTGCGCCGATTCGAAGTCTAGGACCTGATGCCACACTATGATCCAACTGTGCCTTGGTCTTGAATATTCACGTAAGCATTTAGGATCTTGAAATGATTACAGAAATCTTGAATGTTCACATAGCTATACATAAATATCAAATGCTGTTCAATATCTTCCATCCAATATCAGCGGTGTATATATATATATATGTTTGTACATATTCACATAGATAGATATATGATATATGATACATGATAACATTTACATCTGCGTAAATTGTAACGTTTGAAATGGCACATGTTGCCCCTGTCCAGAAATGGGCGAGGTTTCCCCCAAATGGCCAATTTCGTGGGAGCCAGACTGTTTCTTGCCCATGAATTTTCTCCTAGAGGTGTCGCTTATTATTCTTCTCCACTATTGACTCAAACATAAACTCCAGCAATCAAACGTGGCAATGGGAAATCCCCCATTTATACTGTAGATTTTCCCAGTAGAACCTCCATTTGTAAGGGCTGCTCAACCTAATTCGTCAAATTAGGTTTTTTTTTTGAGATCTCTGAAGGAAATTCCGCGCTAAGGCTGATCGTTCATGTGATTCTTCAGCTATGACAGCTGATTCATACCGGCCTCACCATCAAGCTTGGCGTTTCTACCATCAGCTTTTGGATTTCTAATGAATCAGCCAAATGATGGTCCTAACCTTTGGATTTCCCATAAATCCTCTGCGAAGAATGCACCTTTTGAGTTCCCAATGGGTGAGACGATGGGCGTTGAGGCATTGGCCACCCAGTGACCACCATGACCACCAACATGATTAGAATTTGGGATTGCTGGTTCTTCACTACCCTCCGTTCATCAAACGTGGTGTGCCGGAAAATTCACCATAAATAGTTGGATGGAGCATCAGTCAAGCTGGATTTCCCAGCCTTTTTTGGTTGCCGGAGACAAAGTCTTTACCGTGAAGAAAGATGGAAAACACAGAAACTTGGGTCCAAATCCTGGCCTATCACCGTTGCATGCCAGACTTGTGGCTTATTTTCTCACATCCATTGGTCCATTTTTGGTGGCTCATACAGTAACTCAGTAACTGGTGGTTTCCGCCAAAGATCCGATCTGGATGATACCTGTGGGTCCGGTGAGGTGGGTGGGTGGGTCTCTACCCATCTCCAAATCAACAGGACTTGGGTATGGTGTTTTGAGTTGGCAAATTCATCCCATGAATTTCCATGATCATCCGTCCCCATCATTTTTTTCCCCATGATATCTTGATATCCCCATATTGTTGGTAAAATAGCACAAATCAAGCATGTTTAGATCATATTAAATCATATCTGTAATTCATATTCAAACCATATTAAAATCATTCAAACCATATTTCTTGAATTTGGCTTTCTAGAGGGATTTTGATGTCTTATAGGTTGAATTGAAAAAACCCGTTTCGCCAACTTCGTTTCAGGTTCACACCACGCGCGATGTTGTTCGTCTAGCCATCATCCCCATGACGCGATGCTTGGTATGTAGAACGGTGCGAAGAACGGTGATGGAGTTAGGCACCCACAGGCACCCGGAAAGGTACGGCTCAATGGCCGAGGGGTAAAACACCCATCAAATGTAGGAGGATCCAGCTGACAAATGATGGTTAAAACAGTTAAAAACCACTGGTTGATTAGTTATTTAATGGGATTCAATGATCATTTATAATACTTATAGGGCCATTGTATGGTTGATGGATGAAATTTATGGAATATTTGTTGATTGCTGATTAGTTCGTGAATGATACTATCGCTGAATCCCTTAGTGCTCATCATCCATCATGTTCTACCGGTCAGGAGAGACTGGCCGGGCGCTTGCCGAAGATCTGGCAGATGAGCCACGAAAGGTGGGGGCCCTTTTTTGCCAATCCAACTGTCGTTCCCAGGACAGGCCCAGTTATGTTATGAAAAATACGTACCCTCTGGTAAGCCAACACAGCTATTGAAAATGGCCATAGAAATAGTGAGTTTTTCTCATTAAAAATTGTGTTTCTCCATCGTTTTTTGTATGTTTACCAGAGGGTAATTGATATGATAGTGATCATTATGTAGTTGAAGAGAATACCACATAAAATAATTGATAATATGACCTATACTTCAGTTATATATAGTGATATTATCTACTATAGCAATTGAAGATAGTTATATAGTTATTATCTATTATCTATATACTATGTTGTAATTATATGATGTTAGTTGGTTTATCAACTAAAATTATTAAAGGTATACCATGGTAGTGGTCGCATTTTCAGACACACCCAAGAATGGCTCAGAGTGGTGATGTTAGATAATAACTCTTATATTGTACTTGAGCTAAATTTGTTTTAAAAACTATAGCTAAACAACTGATAATTATATCTTATGGTTAACATGACTATGGTTAGTGAGTTAACCATAAATTTTATAACTAAGTATACGTATATAGTAAGGTCAGGGATTTATAACCCCCATGAATGCTATATGGAATATCATCATTTTTTGGGGACCCCGAATCAACAAATCCAAGTTATGTTTGTTGGTTTATAAACTCCATGATACTATAGTTGTATCCTCCATAAACCATAGAATTCATCAAGTTATGTGCATTTAGCCATCGTCGGGGGGGCTCACGTTGTACTGGGTCAGAACTTATGTTTGAGATGCTTCTATTACCCTCTGGTAAATTAACATAGACCCTGAAAAAAAGCCATTTTGAGTGGAAACCAGTCTTCCAACCCCTATCTGCCAGGGTCTATGTTAATTTACCGGAGGGTATTATTGATCACAATCAACCGCTGGTTGGAAAATCTCCGAAACTATTAATCAATGGAGGTTTCCAGCTGACAAAATCATCAAACTACATGAGGGATATTCAAGCCACGTTTGATTCCAGAGGCTATTTCCTGGTGATTATGAACGGTAATTGGGGTGCAGTTGGGATGATATCATGGGATGTACTAGGATGTAATCAGCCTTAATTTTCAGACACCCCAAAAAATCATTGATGTCTCCCCAAGTATTGCGAGACAGATCTACCCATTCGACGAATTCGGCCAAAGGTCGTTGCTGGCTTATGGACCTAATTTTTGCAGATTCTACCGTGCCACATTTTTGGCCAAGAAATGGTAGAGAAGTATTACCCTAATCAAACCTGGCAAATGAACATCCCCAAAAATGGAGTTTTTCATCGGGCAATCAATGGGGGAAACCTCCCATTGCCGCGTTTGAGAAGACGATTTTTGGGCTCCTACAGATGACCTCGGGTCAACCCTGGATTAATCAACCCCAAACGGCTATGTAATTGGGAGGCTACCATAAAAAAATATCAGAGTATGAATATTGGAGGAGTACCACCCTAATTAATAAACCATGGTTTATTAATCCGGGATTGACATTAAGTTACCGACACATTTCCAACCACCTAGACTCTTAGACGCCTATATCAGATGTTATATATATATTTCCCATCACCCATCTATTGCGCATCGGATATTTCGCCATATTTTTTTATTAAAGTTGTTATTTTGCGGGGAGAGGGACATCTATTGAACCCAAGAAATTTGGTGGTGAAAACCCGGTGGTGAAAACCTGTAGAGTTTCCAGGAAATCAATCCATGGAAAAATTCCATCGTCACTGTATCCCGATTGGACACCCCCATTATTGTTGATAAAACTCCAGTTATATCATGTTATATCATTGTAATCCATAGGACCGGTTGAGAAAACCTATCATTTTCTGACTTCCCAGAATATCAACACGATTCCCGTTGAAGTAATTGTCATATTTTTTGTGCAGTAGACTTGATCTTTCACCCAACTTAGTAAGTGGATTAGTTCACCCCAATTATAACGTTATAACTGGACTTTGCCCCCTGAGCCTACTTACACCTCGGGTCACCCCCCTTACGAATTCTGGGGTGAACCACCAAGTAGTGCTCAAAGTGCTCATTTCCCATTGTAATCCCACGGTACTAATTGTTGAATGGATCTTCTTCATTCATTAAAACAACCATAATGGGAACTCTTTTTTTTTTTGTGCAGTACAAAATTTGCAGTGACGAACTCCATTTTTTTGATCATTCTCCATCTCATTCAAACCATCATTGATCCCCCATTCAGGCCTTCTTTTTCCCCTGGGATATTGCGGGGATCCCTAGGTCCAAGTCATGGTAACCCACACCTGGGAGAATCTCTTTCGGGACCTGGTGGCTGCTGTGGTGGCGGATGCCTTGGAGGAGAACACCTTTGACTTGAAGCTTGGATGTAATACATCAAATCGTATGATGATAATATATGATAATATATGATAATATATGATAATATATGATAATCTCTGTTGTTGTTGTTGTTGTCGTTGTTGTGCTGGTGGTGGTGGTGGTGGTTGTGGTTGTGGTGGTCGTCGTCTAGGTACAACCATCAATTCAAAACGTACTGACTTTATCACTCTCCAGGCTGATACAGATGTGATTTTCACTACTTCAGTGTCAATGTTTAGTTTGATATTCTACCGGAAGGGAACCCCCAGAGTTGCGTTTGTTGCCTCATTTATATAACTAGTTGGATATATTCCCCATAAATCCAATCGTTAGCTCAGTTATATTTACCAAGTTACGTATCATTTGGGGTGCCCTTCCTGTATGTATAATATAGCACTGCCAAAGTTTCTTAAGGAACAGGCCCAGCCTGGGAGGCAACTATGATATCCTGAAGACATCGTGGCAATACTTTTCTATCTTAAGACATGGGAACCCCGATGTCTTTGTTTTTTGGCTTTTGATATTTCCATTATATAACAACAACAGAATGGATGATGATACCCAAGTGAACACATTTTTGTGGCTGAAATCACCAAGCCGGCGAAATTTCCCACCAGAACCCCGCAAAGTGAGAACAGCGTTGGTTTGTTTTCGGAGCGCACAGCACCAAGATACTAAGGATTGCGCATGTTCTGCAAGAAGACTCCTTTTTGGTGGCACATCCCATCCGTGGACACCCAAGCAATTTCCTCTACAACAAGAAATTGGCCCAAGTCCTCACACATTTGCGTTTGCGAGGCTTACCCCCTGGTAAATTAACAGTTCGACCCTGAAAATCATCAGTTTTTATTGGAAACTCTCATCTTCCAACCCCGATGACTGGCCTATGTTAATTGACCAGAGGGTATCCAGTACTATTTTTATGAGAATCTTACAGCCACAGACTGAGTCCGGACCAAGGAATTATTTTTTCATTTTTTTTTCATTTTGTTTTTCATTTTTTTTCCTGTTTCATATCATTCTCCGATCATGTGAAATTGTCATTTTCATTTTTTCATTCCCCAATTATGTGGAAATGTCATTCTCATTTGTTTATCGTGTTTCCCTCATGTGCAGTTAATATTAATAGTAACTATTTCTGGTGTTTTAAACCATGATCTCTTTGCAGATGAACAGTGGCAACTCCTCCCGCTATGTTTAAGACATATCAGGGCATTGCAATTGCTTAGTGGGGAACAACAAATAACAATGTTGCGAGCCAGCTATATATATATTTATATATTTATATTATATATATGTATGATTGTATGTGTATATATACATATATATATACAGTGTATAAATATATATATATATATATGGGATATACTGTATACCAGTAGCCCAATATAGCCCAATGATATATGGCTAATGCGCAGCAACCACCTACCGAGTGGTTCTTGTCGCAATACTAGCATAGACCATGTTTTGAAAAGTCGAGATAGATAAATCTGATACACAGTAGATAGATAGTACCGATAAACAGATCGATGAATCTCACATCATCTCCAATTTTTTTTGGGTCAAAGTCAGAGATAGAAGAAATTTGTTGAGAATGATATCTCTATTTTTCATATCCATGTACATACTATATTTATATATATATATACTATTATTACTATTCTTCTTCTTCTTCTTATTATTATTGTATCCATTGTGAGATAGAACAGATTCCCTGTTTTCCCTCACATTTTTTGTTTCTCCAAAGTCAGGACATCACGTTTCGCAACCCGAGGAGATGGAACACCTGCAGAAGACCTATTGGATCTGCGCCTTCGCGGCCCTTTGGATGGTGAACCCCTATGGTTTTTCCTCTGTTACTGGTGATTTAATAGTGATTGATCCTCTAGTAATGGAATATTTTCATGGCTGGTTGGTGGTTAATCTATGGTTAATCTATGGTTAATCTATGGTTAATCTATTGTTAATCAATGATTAATCTATGGTTAATAATGGTTAATAATTGGAATAACAATAAATCTGGTTGGTGGTTTGGAACATGACTGGATTATGACTTTCCCATCTATTGGGAATAATGATCCCAGCTGACTTTCATATTTTTCAGAGGGGTAGGTATACCACCAACCAGGTTATATTTGTTAGTTTCCCTTTGTTAATATCCCTATGGTATATGGGAAACTAACAAAAGGTTGTTTAGTTATGGTATATCATCCCTAACCCCTAAGCGGCTTAAATATAACTAGTGAAACTGGGGTGAAACTAAACCAATAACATGGGGATACAAGGGGGATCAACTTGTGAAATTTGACATGTTTATCTTTTTTTTGGCTTTGAATTCGGCAGCCCATGACCTTCGTTGGTCCAGCAGCGGTCGAAGCCGACTTTGATTTGTCATACCCAGCAGTAAACCATCCCCTCACTTGGGTGTTGTGCTAAGTCTTTACCATTGATACAGGGGATTGGTTGAAGCGCCCACATAGACAGGTCTTCAAAGTTTAGGTCTTGGAAGGACTGTGTAATGCAAGGATTGATACATAACATGACACGTGAGTTGGCCGGACATTAAATTTTGACCTGTACCTAGATTTTCGTTCCATATTTGACTTAAATCCGCATATAGCGTTATATCTTAAATCTCATTGTTGCCATATCCCATAGTAAATGCAACTTCGTGTTCGGATTCCAACTTTCCCTCCAATGAATTAAGATATGGAAGCCCCACCACTCACCGTAGATAATTTTCTCAGTGAGACCATTTTTTTTGTTTTCATGTATGCATATCATTGCATGATGTTATTTTATATAGAGTATTCTATAGTATATACAGAACAGATACCCTCCAGTAAATTAACATAGACCCTGCTAGATAGGGGTTGGAAGATTAGTTTCCATTAAAAATTGGTTATTTTCAGGGTCTATGTTTATTTCCTAGAGGGTAAATGTTATACATCGATTTTACTGGGCAGAAAATTGAGTTCTGTTGCTGTTGACTCGCCTTGAGTCATTGAGGTCAACCAACACACCAGCATCTGCAACATCAATCCAGCTCACAATGTCGTTTGGATCCTGATGGCTGATGGCTGTGAAGTTCATATGATATCCATTTTGCTACCGTAACCATATATATATAAACTAGGTGATAACTAGGTGATATCCCGAATTTCAGTTCTGCACGTTTGGTTCTATTGTTGATATTGTGTGTATGTTTCCCTTTTATACAACATTTGTTGTTGGTTATGTGTTCCAAAGTTCTGGTATATACTGGGTATATACAAACCTTAAGAACTAAAAGGTCAATGGTTGGGGTCCCTATCATTCCTTAGTTGTGGGTCGCAAATTTACCGTTTGGCTGCAATTTTCCTTAGTTCCCCCAAAAATGGCCGGTATTTTTTTTGTTTACCAGGTATTCTTGGGTGTGGGTCAATAGTAAGGATCCTATGTATATTAAAGTGTGTATATATATATATAATAATAATAATAATGATAATTATATATATATCGTCATCCTGGAGTAGATAGAATATGGCATTTTCCAAAAAAACACTAAAGTTGGAAGATCTTTAGACATTTCATGTTCTATCTACTTCAGGATGGTTATATATGTATGATATGCCTTCTTTCCATCAAACCCCGAATAAAGTAAAATAAAACAACATGGGGCTGTGAATCTTTGTCTTCGCCACTTGACATGCCATGGAGTCTGGATATCAGCAACTACGGAACAGCAACTACAGCTTAGCAACCAAAACATGGAACTTCGCTTCAGCAACTAAACTTCTGAAACTCAAAACGTGTCACTTTTCAAAGTCCTTATTCAAATTTTCCTTTCAGACGCATGTTTGAAGAAGCATAGTTTTCAAAGCCAGGGCTCAATCGTCAACCCCCAAAAACTAGACAAGGTTAAACTCATCACTTTTTGGGGGCTGCTATAATCCATTCATCCGTTTGATGTAGCCCCATAAATGGGGACCTCTTCACCAAGATGAATCCCATCTCTTCAACATGAGACACCCCCTAAATGGCCAAAACTGTCTTAAATAATATGGAAATCCTCTATGAAACCATGGTTTCTGTTTTTTTTTGATATGAAATGATGATGGGATGAATAATGCTTAGAAATGTTAGTCATGTTCAATATTCCCTACTACTCGTCTGAGTAATATGCATTGATCGCGTTTTTTTAAGGGAAATGGGATTCCTCTCTGGATTGCAGCCACGCCACTTCCAGCTGTTTCACAAAGGTGGACAGCTTGACCAAGCAGCTCTACCCACTCTGTGATTGCAACGTACCCAAGTGCTTCGACCAAAATGATTTTTTGTGACAAAACTGGCAGTTGTTTAGAATGTGAATCTGGTGAATCTGTGATCAACTGGCATATTTTCAAATCGTTGGTCTAACACATATTATACACATCAACCTACAGGACCTACGTCATATTTTTGGAGATTCATCCCCCTACGTCCCGATGTGTAAATCATGGTTTCTGCTGTGGAAAAATCGATTGGGGCCCATGGGTTTAGTGGAAACGAGCTGGAAATTGGCTCCATGAAATATCTTGACATCTTGACATATCTTGACATAGCAACCATGGTTTCCTGTAGTTTTTTTTCCCAGACCCGAATGATGGATGGTTGATTTTATGAGGGGCGGAAGCCCTCAAATAACGATAATTGGCTACTAAAACAGTATTGAGGAGTTGACGATATATTGGGAGCTGCATATTGGCAAATCACATACTGTACAGTACACCACCCTGAACATGAAGCATGCTGCATTTTTTTGGGAGCCTAAAAATGAACAGACCCAGCAATAAGGGGTACTCCATGGTACTCCCATCACGTTGATATTAAACATCCCCTGAATGGTCCCAATTATATGTAAATCCTCTACTAAACCATGGTTTGTGGGAGGGGTGTTTTTAACCTTGGGGGGAAGGGATGATTGGATATTGCATTAGGGATTTTATTGGAGAGTAGCATACAACAAAAATCTGACGCCCGACCTCGGAGTGCGAGACATATCATGAGACCAAACTAACGACCTTTAAGCATACGCTTGATCTTGGGCTGACTGAAGGGGCCACAGGGCCAGAATTGGACACCTGGAAAACCGTTGGACACCTGGAAAGATTTTCATCATCCATGGGCATTTTGGGAACCACTCATCCAAGTTACAGCACCCCTCATATGGCCAGTGCTAGGGTTTCGTTTTGCGGTGTTCAATATACAAAGGTGGAAAGAATTGCCATGAAGATCTCCAGAATTTCCCATCTAGCTACAGGTAGATATATCATAATACATATACATATACATACTTATACATATATATATATACATACATACATATTATGTATATTTATACACATACCTACTATATGTATATGTATGATTGTATGGTTATATATTCATAACATTAATATGTAGATATGTTCACTAGAAATCCAGTCGTGGTCCTGCCGAGATTTCTGAACAACTCTCCTCCCCTCGACAAGAAGGGTCGATCGATCCAGTGCATCTTGGACTTCGGGGCACGGTGGAGGATCCTGGTCAGTGGCTATTGCAATCTTCGTTGTTTGCGGTTGAAACTATGTAGCCACACCCAGAAGCAACACCAAGATGCCAAGCATTTCAAGCATTTCAAGCATTTCTCCCAGTTGAAGCACCATAAAAATCTTAAATTCCATCTATTCTGCTTTGAAAATAGGGAACATTCCCAGTTATGGCCATGTTTTTTTTGGTTCTAATAGGGAGCACGAGAATCCATTGGAATTGGGGGTAACTTTCAGATGACCAGAAAAATCCAGCGGAGTTTTTCTCGCTGAGGTGAGCTGAATAAGTTTGATCACATGATGGCCATCATCGCCCGAGAGCATGGCGACTTTGCCCAGGTCCGCTCCGTTACAAAAAACTCGCTGGCTCCGACGGGTCAGTTGAGGTTTTCCTGAACCGAAAAGGATATTGAGAATGGGGAATATACATGGAGGTTTGCCAACTATAGTGGCTTTATATATTCAAGGTTCAGCCTAAGTGATATTACTGTTGGGCTTAAAGTTTTATAAAATTTCACGGAGATAAGTGTGGGATTTAATAACCCCCACCACTTGGGACATCAGCCTTTTACTATGCCTACAGGATGGGGCCCCCGTTCGAGCTCGCGTTCAGTTGCCTAAAAAAAGTGGTTGAATTCTATGGTTTATGGTAGATATAACGAACTAGTTCATGGGGGTTTTGTTATGGTGTATAAACCAACATTCACATCACTGGGGGGCCCCATCCTGTATGGTTGCAAAAAAAAAAGTGGTAATCCCATCCCCCCAATAAAAACAAACTCCCCAGCGACCATGATGCAGGGGATGGAATCCAACACTCGGACAATCCCAAGTCTTGTTGGCTCATTGCCCGTGTTTCCTTGGTTAGTTGTGGGCCCCCAAAAAATTTAACACCCAAAAAGGATGGTTTGATAGCAAACATGCCACAATTTTTGTGGATACCAATCCTTTTGACCCAAACAGTACATAAATTGTTTAGAGAACAGGGTCCTATAATTTCAAATGTAAAAAAATGTTGTCGTAAATCCAAAAGAATCGAAGTTATCCATCACGTTTCTCACCACTTCACAATTTTCCACTATTGTTGATTCTATACATCCCAATATATATATAGATATCCCTGTGGTATCTCTATAAACTGGTTTGTGTCTTTCCCGGAGATACACAGATGTGTAATTTGAAATTCCACCATTTACCCACCATCGATCCCAAACACAGAACACCACGGAGAGGACTCTCCGTGATTTCAGTTTCTCTATAACCCTATCAGAAATCTCCAAAATAGATCAACATAGTTTTTGAATTATCACTTTTGTCCATGAACTGACCTGGATTTGTTGTTTTTTTGATGTATCCATTAAACCTGATATCAAATAGCTCACGTTCCACTGGGTCCCTGGGGTCATAGGGAGATCCCCCAAAACGAGGTCCATCACCATCTTCGCTGGTTTCCCCATATACCCTATGACAATCCCATATATTTACCCAGAATCCTCCTGACATAATCCATGATCAAAAACAATTTCAGGAGATCCCACCACTCCCCGATTTCAAGGTCGACGTCATCACCGTGACAATTTGACGTTTTCTAAAACATCTCATCACCGAGTATTGAACCACCATGTTTAAACCACCGTGTTTCGGCTCGTCGTTTCGGCCTTCATAAATATCCATCATTTCCTCCATGATACATCTAAAGCTCACCTTGTTTAAAGATTGAACCACCATCATTGATTTACCAATGGTAATTTCGCAATTTGTGAACTGGAAGCCATGGCCCAGTTAGTTTGATGATTTACCATTAGTTTCCCTTGTAGAAAAATTGGTGACTTTCCAGTTCGCAACATCACGCTGATTTAGAATCCATTAAATCCGATTCATATCCCATTGTAAAGACATTGTAGTTGGTTCAATCACTCTATCTTCACCACCAGGATCCCCAATAGCTAGATCGTTATGATTTCATGGTTCAAATCGATCATAGCTGGATGAAAAAATTGGGGTTTACCCCCCATCACTATGGAAAGCCCTGGCCAATGGCCCACAAGAAATCTTCACCAGCGCACTGTGACTGTCACCATCTGTCACATCCAGCAGGTCTTGGCAATTGACCAGGATTTCGGCTTGTTCCACCGTGCCTGGTGTGTCGCGGAGCTGGCTGAAGCGCGGCTGTTGCGGATGCCCACGCACGTGCCGAAGCGCATTCGTGGGGTTTTTATCCCCGGGAGCAAGAAAAAACTTGGTGAATTAGGGGAGAAAACTCGTCATTTATATGGGTTTATGTGGATTTGTAGGTGATTGATATAGATTAAGAGCTGATTTATATGGAGTTGTACGGATTTACAGCTGATTTATATTGATTTATAGCTGAGTTATGATAGCTACAGTAAGTTGGTTTTGCTTGATGGTTCCCCCCTTGTAATTTCACACCGTGCTATGGAAGATCGCACATCAAGAGGTAGATCATCGAACTAACTGTGCCATGGCTTCCAGTTCGCAAATTGTTGAATTCAAGAGTTGTTTGAGCTCAGCTATGAGCGTGGAGGCTTGCTCCGCCCATAGCTGAGCTCAAACAAGATTGCATGTCACCCCCCATAAGAGGGGATTTTTAAGATCGGTGGGGGACCGATTGAACACCCCCCCCCCATAAGCGGGGCATTTTTCCATTACTCGGCGTCCGACGCCTTTGAAAAACAGTGCTGGAGTGCGAAGGGCCTCGGGTGTAGGACGGAGTGGGGACAGGTGTTAACGGTTGACTTGTGTGTCTCACTTGTAAGTTTAGGGAACAACAACTTTGGACCACGGGTTAAGGACAAATGTTTTTTTCTTCTAAGTCTGTGTTTCACGAAAAGGAGTGAAGACAGGGTCGTTTTAATTTTTCCACCAAAGGGGACGTCGGTAGAGAGAGGGTGTTACCAAGTTGTTTGCAGAAAGGGTTACCAAGGCAGAGTTTATTTAGTCGTTTGTGGTTTCAAACGTGTAATAAGACCGAAGACCTTGGAAGATATGTTAGAGGATTTTTCATTGGCCAACTTTCTGAATTTGTTGTTCGGGTACTTTGTCACCGTGTTCTCAGGTAACAATGAACAATCCTCTGACCGTTTTTTTCAATTGTTTCGCAAGTTTTTTTCGAAAAGGATGTCTCACCGAGGGGCAAAAGGGTCGAAAGATGTCAAAGGGTTCGCAAGGGCCTAACAAACGGTTAAGCGGGTTAAAGTGGTCGAAGGGGTCAAAGAGTTAGTCTGTTTCAAGTTTCAAGTAGTTTCTGCTGATAAGGAATTTTCCCTTGAATGGTGTTCAGTCGTTGTGTCAGAAGAACAATGTTCGGTGCTGACTTTCCTGTTTGGCAAACATGCTTATCGTTCAATGGTATGTTTTGAAGGAGCAAGTTGTTGCCAATTCTGTTTGGTGCAAAGTTCAGCCCAAAGAATTTTTAATTTAAGGGCGTCAACTTTTCCATCCATGGCACCGGCATAGTAAGACCGGATTCTTTGCAATCCATCGGCTGTGCCACTTCTTCATCTGTGGCTTGTCAACATTTTATATGTTTTGGAAGTGTTCAAAATTTCTTGATGTTTTCAAATGTTTTTCCCGAATGCGTAGCAAGGGTTCCCGTTTCACTCTGGGGGTCTGGGGGTTGAGGGTGTGTTCGCTCGACGTTGCGTTTGTGGTCGCAACCGTCCGCAACCGTCTGCAACCGTCTGCAACCGTCCGCAACCGTCCGCAACCGTCCGCAACCGTCCGCGCGATCCCCGTATGGCCGTGCCTATGGGAAGTTTTGCAGAGGTGGTCCTTTTTGGCGGTTTCAGACGTGTCGTTGCTTCGTTTCGCGTGGCAGGCGTGGCACTTCGTGACATTCAGACGTGTTCTGGAACGTGTCGAAAGTCGTTTTGCCTGGCAGGCGCAATACTTTGTTACGTTTTCAGAAGATGTTTTGCAGTTTTAGTGGCAGGCGCAGCACTTTGGACGTGTCCATCGTCATATTTCGTGGCAGGCGCAGCACTTTAGACGTGTCGCGTTGCGTGTTTTTTGCAAATCGCATTGGCAGGGCTGCATCAAGTGGCGACAAAGTGCAAATTCCGTGGCAGTCGTGGCATTTTGTGCGATGTGCTGAAAATTGACGGAAGCCTCGCACGAAACATCGATTTTGAAGTTGCAAATTTTCAGGTTCTATAAGGAAAACTCGTAGGGAAACGTCGATTTTGAAGCTACAAAGTGTGAAAAGTGGAGGAAGTCTCGCACGAAATGCTCGTTTTGGTGCTTCCACCTGTCTTGTCTCGCGTGTCTGGTTTTCCCGTGGCCTCGCTGTGTCTATGGGGGAAGCTGCAAAACCTCTCTTTTTCGAAGGTTTCCAAGCAGGTTGTCATGTCGTTTTGCGTGGCAGGCCTGGCACTTCGTGACATGCAGACGTGTTTTGTAACGTGTCGAAAATGTCAAAATTGGAGGAAGTCTCGCACGAAATGCTCGTTTTTCTGCACCCACGTGTCTCGTCTCGAGTCTCTGGTTTTCCTGTGGCGTCGCCCTGTCTATGGGGGAAGCTGCAAAACCTCTCTTTTTCGAAGGTTTCCAAGCAGGTTGTCATGTCGTTTTGCGTGGCAGGCGTGACACTTTGTGACATTCCAACCTGCGTGATAACGTGTCGCAAATGTCAAAATTGGAGGAAGTCTCGCAAGAAATGCTCGTTTTTCTGCACCCACGTGTCTCGTCTCGAGTCTCTGGTTTTCCTGTGGCGTCGCCCTGTCTATGGGGGAAGCTCCGCACTCCATACTCTACACTTTACACTCCACACTCCACAATTTGCACTTTAGACTCCACACTCCACACTCTACACTTTACACTCCACACTTTACACTTTGCACTTTACACTCCTCACTCCTCACTCGAGACTTTACACTCCACACTCCACACTTTACACTCCTCACTCCAGACTTTACACTCTACACTTTACACTCTACACTCCACACTTGACATTTTACACTCCAGACTTTACACTTTACACTCCTCACTCCACACTCTACACTCTACACTCCACACTCCACACTCTACACTCCACACTCCACACTTTATATACACTTTGCACTTTACACTCCTCACTCGACACTTTTACACTCCACACTCCACACTTTACACTCCACACTCTACACTTTACACTCTACACTTTTCACTCCACACTCCACACTTTACATATTACACTCCACACTTTACACTTTACACTCCTCACTCCACACTTTACACTCCACACTCTACACTTTACACTCTACACTACACTCCACACTCTACACTTTACACTTTACACTTTACACTCCACACTCTACACTTTACACTCCACACTCCACACTCTACACTTTCCACTTCCCACTCCACACTCCACACTTTACATTTTTTATCCTCACTCTGCACTCCACACTTTCCACTCTGCACTCCTCACTTTACACTCCACACTCCACACTCTACACTTTCCACCCCACACTCCACACTCCACACTCCACACTTTGCACTTTACACTCCTCACTCCACACTCTACACTCTACACTCCACACTCCACACTCTACACTCCACACTCTACACTTCACACTCCACACTGTGAAGGATCGATATGGTATACAACCCTTCTGTGAGGCTACCTGTGAATTGCATTTCTGGATGATGTCAGGAGTTGCGAACCTTTTCCATACTTTTTGACAGTTGCATGCGTAAAGAGCAAGCGGAGAGTAGCTACCGCGTGCTGTACGATGTGAATACTTTTTGACAGTTGCATGCGTGAAGAGCAAGCGGAGAGTAGCTACCGCGTGCTGTACAATGTGAATACTTTTTGACAGTTGCATGCGTAAAGAGCAAGCGGAGAGTAGCTACCGCGTGCTGTACAATGTGAATACTTTTTGACAGTTGCATGCGTAAAGAGCAAGCGGAGAGTAGCTAGCGCGTTTCAAGCAGTTCATGTGAACACTCTGGTGAAATACGAGTGTTTTTGTTTTGGTCTTTTCGTTGCTGCGTTTTGGTGTTCTGTTTAGCCGTTTTTCACCGGAGTGGAATCAGAGAATTAGATTTGGAGACAAGCTTTTGGATCAGAAGATCCTAAGGAACTTCATTTCCTGAAAGGGAATTGTTTTGTTGTGGCCTTTTCTCGTGGCGAGAATTTCCGGAAATGAAGTTGAGAGACATAGCATGAAAGCCAAGAATTTGAACCGTTGTTGAATCCCAGTTCGGAGAACGGGTTTTGGAAGTCAACACAGTTTTGCAAGAGGATTTCATTTTTTGAGAATTTCAGCTGTACAGAGCCGAAATCAATCAAGGATCGCCACAAACTTGTGGCTCAAGCATAAGTCAAAGGAAAAAGCTGAAATATCAAACGATATTGTCAAGCTCGCTTTGATTTAGAGAAATTTGAGAAGAACAATCCTGGCCCAATAAGGGTTTCGGATTTGTTTATGGTAGCGGAGCCTACGGGCTCCCTACCGGTAGTTTGAGCGATGGCTGAAGAGGTCCGCGAACGATCTCGATCCCCAGATGGCCCAGAAGAACCTCAACCAACTGTTGAAAGAGGGACAGGATCCCGAACACCTGATATCCAAGCTCAAGGTTTCCGAGTGGCTCAGCTGGAAGGGCAGATGTCGCAAATGAGAACTATGGTAGAATCTATCGCAGGCATGTTGAACCAACAGCAAACTTTGTTTCAGCAGCTGCCAATATTATTTCAGACGCAGAATGTTCCATTTGTTGCCTCTGCAGTTCCTGGGATGAACCCTGGTGTTCCTCAACAAGCCCCCGTTGAGCCACAGAGAAGTCCTGCACCGTCAAGGATTCCTCCAGGAAGTCAGGTACCGTCGCCAGAACGTCCTGACCCTCTTCAGCAAAATGATCCGTGGAGCCAAGACCGTTCGACAGTGGTTCAAACACCGGCTGGAGAGACAGGGAACCCGTTTGAGGGTTACCATCATCCACCTGGACTGGGGAATGGGCCAGAAGCGCCGCGAGCTGCTCAAAGACCACCTTCAATCCAGTTGTCGTTGCCAGGCGGGTCAGCGCATCAGCAGACACAAGCTCTAGGGGGAGATGATAATCCTTTCAGAAGATCTGAGAAATGGATGCCTGCAGTGCCGGTTGCCGAGCACAAGAGCTGGCGTTCAAGGCCAATGGAGGTTGAAGGATTTCTGAAGTATGTGTACGACTTGGCCACATGGGCTGGGAAG